CTGATCTCCAACTCAGGCCATGGCCACCTGCCCATGGATGGCTGAAGCCATCAACTATCTGGGGTGGGTTCTGCCCATGTGGTGCTGTTTTCCTCCACAGGAGCTGTTCAAGAAGGTGGTGCCCTGGGACTTTCTGGGCTCCATCTGGACCCAGAGAAACAAAAAGGGCAAAGAACATCTGGTGCCCACTGTTTGGGCCACCATCACACATTTTAATCATGCGGCCAACTGTGTGATCACCTCCTGCCTTGGGGGTCCCAGCACGAGGGCTGGAGACAGGGCCAGGGGGGTGGAGCACTGGATCCAGGTGGCCAGGCTAAGCTGTGAGAGGGCACTGGCAATTTCCTCTGGACATCTACAATCTGCCTCTTCTCCTCCATCAGCTCTTGGGACTGTAGGCTTTTTTCTAAGAGGTTGTATGATCCCTAGTGCCTCCCTGTCATGGAGACCCTGAACTAGACTGATATGTCATGTGCTGTGGTGGGTGCTGTCATGTGATGTAAGCTTCTTTGAGTTTAACTAAAATCTTCCTCCCTGAGAGTGCTGGCATTGGGTCACAGTTGGTCCCTCCCATGGCTCCCTGGGCATCATCTCATCCAGGAGGGGAAAAGGCAGCTGTGGTAGCTGAAACTGGAACAGGCTGATCTCCAGCTGCCCCACCCCTACATGCAACGGTTTCCTCCCTTCTCTCCCTAGGAGTGCCTAAGGCTCAGGAACTTCTCCTCACTGCATGTCATCATCTCTGCTCTGCAAAGCACATCACTACATAGGCTGAGCAGGACCTGGGGAGAGGTATCCAGGTGGGCCTGGCTTTCTCCATAACAACTCCAGGGCACACAAGGGCCCGTCTATTGTAATAGATCTGACTCTGCCTCCTACATGACCCTGGGAGGGGTTTTGAAGCCAGGGACACAGAGGGGAGCCATCACCTTGTAGGTGGGATCCCTAAGCTTCCCTGCAGTCTTAGGCCAGGGTTTCTGACTCAGGTTATTGTCATAGTTACTTTTCTCTTTGCTGAGACAAAATACCCCACATCCAAAGTTAAAGGAGAAAAGGTTTAATTTGCCTCACAGTTTGTAAACTCAGTCTAAAGTTGGCTGGTTCCAAGGAAGGGAGAATGGCATGGGAACATTGGAGAGGAGAAACAGTTGATGTCAAGGTAAAGCAGGCCTAAGGAAGCAAAACAGCAAAGTACTGAGGATGCAGCAAGCAGTAAGCAACAACAGCTGCCCTCTTCCAGTCCCTTACATTCTGTCCAGGATGCACACCATTCAGGTGGGTCACGCCCACAGCCAGGGTGGGCCTTGCCCTTATGTCCACCCCAAATTATGCCAAACCAATGAGTGGACTCATTTAGTAAGCACACTCCATTGATCCCAGCATCACACCCTCTGGATCCAGCCACCTCTCAGAAGCCTGACCTGCCCCCACATAGGGCTCTGAGGGGACAAGTAGACACAAGCCATAAGAGTTACTTAACTGCCAGGCACAGCTGTACACAAGAGTCTTTCAAGTGAGCACTAGACAGCAATAGAACTGTTTGTCCAGCTGAAACCATAACTGCCAAACCTGACCAAACAGATGATCAGTGCAAATGGGGAGGGGACCCAGAAGGTCAAAGGAAAGGTCCCATCCCAGTCCTGTGGCTCTCATATGTTTTATATGAACCCAGTTTGAATTGTTCATTCAGGCAGTATGTGTACTTTGGGTTCTCAAATAAAATGAATTTGAACTCACATACCTATTATTCTGCAATTCCTCCTCACTGTTTCCCCTCTCAAACAAGAAAAGCTTCAAAAATTTCAATGAGTTGTGTGCCAAGGACACTGCAGAGAGAAGGAATCTGCTCATGAAGGTAATTTTGAGGCTCAGATCTGGGGTGAAAGTGTTTGAAACACAGAGAAAGGGGTGAAATTGGAAGAGGTTCTGTGCTAGATGGGGTTGTTTTTCTCATTTGAAGCTTTAAAATTCCAGGTGTATCTTCTGGAATCAGAGGACTGGCTGTATCTGTCCTTCCTTAGGCTGAAGGCCTGGGGCACGTGAGGCTTAAGGGATGTCACTGAGCTCTCCAGGGAGGGTGGATGAGCTGGCAGAATCAGCAGATCTCTGGCTGCCATGCTGGTCCCTCCTGCTGGAAAGTGGCTTCCCCCATGCAGTTGGCTGGAGGTGGTAAGTCTTCCTTACTCCAGCAACTTGGCCCACAATACTTTAGGAAATCAGGACCTGTTCCTCTTCAATATTCACTAAACCTCTGCCAGGAGGGGACACCCTGACTATAGCAGAGAAATCCCATTGGGACAAAGGGAAGCTCAGCTCCTGTGCCAGTGGGTACACTTGGACTGATTCATGGGTGTGCTGTCACTCTCCTCTGCTCACACTGATGGGTCTTCAGGTTCCTACTTCAGTGTCCAGTTGGCAGCAACACTGTCTCCTGACAGATGTTAGAACTATCTTGAGGATGCATGTATTCAATAGTAGATCCTAACTGATCCGATCTCAGAGCCCATTTCCCAAGGAAATATGTCCTTGTCACTCAGAGTTGACAACTTGGGAGGTCACATTCTCTGGGGCTGAGCAGAGGCTCTGCCAAAAGAACTCCCTTGGGGGATTCATAGGAGGAGGTGAGGTTGGGTGTGGCCTCCCATCCAGCTGTGGGGCAGAGACTGCGGAGGTCCAGGACAGGCAGGAGCTTCTCAAACATGCTGTCTGAGGCCCGCTGCTCTATTCTATTGTGCATGGGCATGGCAGGGTCTCCAGACACTCACCAGGAGCTCAGAGGAGAGGACAGTGGTCAGGACTGGTGCTGGGACGTGGGTTGAAAGGAGCTGAGCTTGTACTTCCAGTGGGCAGGTGAGAGGAGCTAGCTTCCCTTATACTGCTCTGGGAGAGTCTTTGTGCAGGCAGCACAGTGTGGCAAGGAGTGAAAGTTGAGGTGCTTCCTCCTGGATGCTCCTCAGAGTGGTGAGGATTTCAGCAATAATTATGTAACATGGAGCCCTCAGGAGGTGCTGTGGGGCAGGTGCATGTTGAGATGGGGAAGCATGCTCAGGGTTTCCAGGCCACACACCCAGGGTGACAAAGCAAGGCAGCATGGCAGCTGGGAGTGAATGGCCAAGCATAGTCGAGTAGTAACAGAGCTGCACCAGCTGACAGGAGCCAGCTGTGTGGGGTCTCAGCTCAGGGAGACAGTTTTATAAGGGCAGAAAAGTCTCCACATCCCTGTCTAACCTGGCAGGACCCTGGAGAACAACCCCCAGAGAGCCCAGATGAGGCAGCAGCAGCAGAAGAAGGTGAGTGTCCAGGGGTAGGGAAGGTCCCAGGAGTCAGAGGACAGGAGAGCCTCCCTTCCTTCCAGGACATTCCACTCCCAGAGAGCAGGGCTCCTTCCTCCTCCAGCCTTTCCCTGCTGTGCTGGAGATGCCTCCATCACAGAGGCCAGAGCAAGACCCCAGAAGGGCTGCACACAGAGCACATATGGGCTAGAGCTGGAGACAGGCACAGCATCATGTGACCCACACCAGTCATCCCCATGGAAGCCAGGCAGGGTGGCAATGCCTGCAACCACAGCACTCTGGGAGGTGGAGGCACAAGGATCTCACAAGTTCGCGCCCAGTTTAGGCAACTTCATGCCTCAGCTGGTCCCTGTCCCTGAGTGAACAATAAAAAAGGCTGGGGATGTAGCATGATGCAAAGGTGCTAGTTCCAGTCCTCAGTATGAAATAAGAAAATCAGCACCAGGGAGGCTACTCGGGGTGTTCCATGTCACAGGAAGCCAGACAGGAAGATGGGAGTGAGAGAATTGGAAGGACTTAGTTCGGAGTCCCAGAGGGGCAGGAGATGGGTGAGTGCAGGTTCAGGGGGACTTCCACGCTCTAAGTGGGAGTGGGGCTGGGTTCTCATCATCTCCACCCAATGGCACAGGGCTCCATCCCCTTCTTTGTCACCTTCCTCACTGACCTGGTGATGCTGGACACAATGATGAAGGATTGCCTGGATGTGAGTGACCCTCGGGCAGCAGCTTTGGGAACAGGATCCTGGGGCTTGGAAGGGAAGGCCCCTGTGTTGAACCCTCAGGTCCTGGCACTCGGCAACCTGCTGCTACGAGGGAGAGCCTCACACCTGGCCCTGGGTGCTGGAGGGTCCAAGTCCATCCTGCCTAGGGGTGAAGCACCCTCCACAATGACCCCAAGTCCCTCTTTTCCAAATCCTGAAGCCGTGGAGCTGCCTGGCTGCAAAGCTGCAGCAGCCCTTGACTGAGCTGGACTCAGGCTCTCCTTCAGGTGGTGTCCAAGGGAGGAGAGAGAAGGTGGGGCCCTTAGGCCAGGAAGCACCTCCATGGCCAGTGCTCCCTTCCTCTCCGAGGCCTCAGTTTCCCTGTCTGACACCAACTGCCATTTGGATTTACGCCCCTCAGCCTCAGCTCCCCTGTGCTTCCTCTGCAGAGCCCAAACCTGCCCGGGGTCCTCGTCCTTCTCCATGCACTCCTGGTCCCAGGGGACCCTGCCACGATTCCAACAGGACCAAGGCTGGGGTGGGCTATTCATGGCTCAGGCTTTCTCATTTGCTTTTGCTATCTGCCTTGCAGGGCAATCTTGTCAACTTGGAGAAAATACAGAAGGTAAGCAGCTGTGTCCTGCACCTCCAGGAGGGTGGGAAGGCAGAATTCAGACACCTCCTGGGCTGGACGCTCCTTGGCTTCACCCTCTGCATTGTGCTTTATTAAGAGGGTTTTGTACACACAGAAAGATGGAAACCATCGCGATGGAGTGTGTGCACAGGAGACGGGACCCGACACATGGACAACTGCCTGGACATGGGGCAGTCTCGGCCCACGTCTGAGAACAGCTTAGGGCTCGGGTGGGATTGAGAGGATGGGGGGACAATTAAGGGAAAGCCCTGCAGACCAGCCCTGGACTCTTCCCTCCTTGCTCACAGCCCTCAGCCCATGTCCAGTGCCAGCCCTCTCAGAAGCCGGCTGTTCCTCTTGCCCCAGGAAGCCAAAATTCTTCAGGAGATGCAGCTGTTCCCGGTGGCAGTGAGGAAATATCATTTTCAGTGTGAGGAAAATGTTGAGGTCTGGTTCCACTCGAGGGAGTGGCTCAGTGAGAACGAGAGGTGAGGCCAGGCAGGACTCGTGTGAAAGCCCAGGGTTGGGGGGCTCTCCCTGGCTGAAGGCCCGCGCCATCAGGGCCAGACAGGCTCGGCACTCAGTGAAGCCTGGGCTCTGAGCTCCCGACAGAGCTGGCTGTCATGTCCAGCTCCACTCCGACCAGCCTGGGATCAGGGTGGGGCCTCTCACCACTGTTCCTCAAGCCCCATTGTCACCAATTTGATTTGCCCTTCCAATGCCTTTTCTTTTTTACATATCTTTAATTACTCTGTGCTTCTGTTGTTTCTCAGTGTTTTTATTCAAATTAATATAGATAAGTTACACATTGTGTTTTACTCTTTTTGCTATTTTTTTCACTTTAGGCCATATAGTCTATAGGTCACTATAGGTCAATGGAGATCATTCCTTATTTGTGTATTCCATTTTGTGCTATTAAATTTGAGAGTCTGTCTATCTGTCCATCCATCTATACCACAGTCATGAAATATCTTTCCAGCTTGAGGCCATTATAAACCCTGCATTGAAGCCAGGTGTGTGAGCTTTCTGCTCTTTTTCTTCGGGAGATTTACTGGACCACATGTGGTGTCAATCTGGCTCTTCTATGCTTTCTTGCATGGGTTTTACAATCCAGCTTCCAGCTGTCTAGTGCTAGTGTCACCCTCTCTTTGCAGTGTTCCTATATTCATGATGTTTCAGCACTGCAGATCAGTTAAATCCTCAAAGTACACAGCCCAAGCTTCCACTGCCACAGGGTATCACCAGAGAAAAGACAAAAATGTTCATTGTGTATGCTAGGTCAAACACTTTTGCCACTCTTTCAAAATAGGAGAGAGGAAAATATTTCCCACTTTACTTTAGAGGCACACTGTACCCTGATACCTAATCCAGACAAGGGCGCACAGGAAAATTATAAGCCAACATCCCTCATAAACATATATACTGAAATTCTAAAGACACTTCTAACAAGCTAAACTCGGCAGTATATTGCCAGGACCATTTACATGATTGTGTGGAGTTTATCCCCATGATGCCATGATGTCTGAACACATTCAAGTCGGGAAATGTGGTGTGTACACTAACAGAATAAAGGGGCAAACACCTAAACAGTCACCTCACCTGATGCAGAAGGAACGCATCCTAACATTATGCATCTTTTTATGATAAGTGCTCTAAGTAAATCGAGTACAGGAATGTAAGTCAACACAATAAAGGTCATTGTCACAAGCCCACAGCTGGCATCATGCTCAGTGGTGAAAAGCTGAAAGCCTTTGAGGTGGGAAACAAGACAAGGATACTCACCATCAACAATTCTTCTCAACATGGTGCTAGAAATGTGAGCCAGAGCAATGAAGCAAGAAAAAGAAATAAAAGCCATCCAGATAGAAAACTGTGGAAGAGCCATTGTCACTCTTTAGACAGGATCAAAAGCTGTTCAAACAAATGCAGTGAAGCTGCAGGACACAAACCAATGCACAAAGTGACACATGCAATGCACAAAAGAAATCAAGAGAACAATCTCTTTTATGAGCCACAAAAAGGAAAATAAAAACAGTCCTCTCTTTTTGAGAAAGACATCCTGGTTTCAGAAGCCACTGTGGCTTCAGGATGTAGACAGACCTCTCAATGCCATACACAGGACAACTGCAGTGGCAGGAAGGAAGGAAAGAAGGAAGGAAGTGAGGAATGAAGGAAGGAAGGAAGGGGATCAATTTCCAATAAAGCTACCAATAGCTGCCATGTGCTAGATACCATGATGTTCTACAGCAGGATGTCAAGCAAGTTCAATACATGATGTGATATTTACACACATGAACATGTTAAATATGTGAGCATATGGATATTCTTAGAATTTGAGGATATTAGTCTATCATTATCCTTTAGCTAGCAGGAACCTGAACTAAGTTTAATGCTTTTTAAAAATCAAGCTGAACCTTGCAGGGTTTTCCGCTTTTATCCTTGTAACAATATTTTCTCCCAGACTACATATAGATTTGCATTTTAGAAAAATCAGTACCCTGAATTTTCCTGGAGAGCGGTGAACCTTTGGGTTATACCTACATACGCTTATCTGTGTGTAGAGCTTCCTTCATATTTTGACTCGTCTTTTTCTCTTCTCAGGAGCATTGCTATATTCCTAAGGCCAGTTCTATATTTGCAGTTTTCTGTGTCTTCCTCATCCCCATCACATTCTCATGACTGTTCTTTTTCTCTACACTGTACATATTTCCTAATCTTGGCTTCCAAATGTGTGCTCTTTATGGCCTCCAATATGAATATCTACTCTGCCTTTATTGCTTTAGTGTTATTTATCCTTGTATACATTTAAACATATCCTAGCTTTACGCTCATTAAGATAAGCCAATTTTGGTTATGAGAAATCTGCTTCATGAGAATTTTCTTTTCATACCTGTGCATTGCCTAATGAGGCAGCTCTTCAGATTTTTGTTTACTTCTTGAAGTATCATTTAAACTTGATATCGCTCACCCTTTTTAGGTGTACAGTCTTGTGAATTTTGACACATGTATGCAGCCCTTAAACGGCATCACAATACATATATTTCAATTAGTCCTTACTAGATCCTGACCCTTTACCCTCAGCTCCAGTGACCACTTATCTCATTTGTCTTTATCATGTTATAGTTTCTTCCAGAATAGGATATAATTGGAATCACATAAGGTGCTACTTTTGAGTGAATTTCTCACATAGCACAATGCCATCATTATATTTTTATTGCATATGTCAATAGTTTGCTTCTTTTTCTATTTAGTAGTATTCTTTTTGTGAATCTATCACAATTTGCTCATCTATTCATCACCTGGTGGACATTTTGGTTCTTTCTAGTTTTTAGGGATTCTGACTAAAGCAATTACAAACATTCAGGTGTACATTCATATATTTATTTTGCCTGGTTAAAAGAACTCGGTAGCATTTCTAGGTTGTATCCCAAGTGCAGATCTGATTTTATAAGAAGCTACCAAGCTCCTTTAAAGTGGCTGGGTCATTTTGCCTTCACAGCTTCAACGTTCCTGCTGCTCCACATGCTTGTCAGTGCCTGTATTTTCAGTTTATTTATCATCATCATTATTGTTGTTGTTGTTGTTATTATTTCTTTTTGTTTGGGTTTTTGAAGCAGGGGCTCCCTTTGTAGCTTAGGCTGGGCCTGAACTCACTATGTAGCCCAGGCTAGCCTCAAAATCCCAGCGATCCTCCTGCCTCAGCCTATGGAGGGCTGGGATTACAGGCATGTACAACCATGCCTGGCTTCAGTTTATTTTTAATTATCATCCATTCTAATGTGTGTTGCAGTGATTTTGTTTATTTTGCAGTGCTAGGATTGAACTAGGGCCTTTATGCATGGTAGCTTTCAATGTAGTTTTAACTTACATTTACCTAAGGACTCCTGATGCATGGAGCTTGGTACTATACATCTCTCCATGTGCTTCATGTGCTTGCTTGCTGTTCATCTTTTTATTTGTTGATTTATTTTTTGTGGTACTTGGGATCGAATTCAGGACCTAGCAATTGCAAAGCAGGCATGGTACCAGGGAGCTAAATCCTCAGCCCTGTTTGTCTCTTTTTTATGAGGTATCTTGTTGGGAGCAATGCTACATAATTCTAGGGAAAAATCATTTGAGTAGGCCTAGTTCTCCTGCCTACAGCCCAGCTAGGACATTCCAGACATAATAACATTTTGGCAATACACAGGTTATGCCTGAAGGGGTTGGTTTGTTTTTTGTTTTGTTTTGCCCCTTTTTTTTTTTTTTGATACCAGGGATTGAACTCGGGTCCTTACACTTGTGAGGCAGGTGGCGGAACCACTGAACTAAATCCCCAGCCTTTTTAACAAATCTATCACAGCACCTTTAGGTACTGGGTACATAGCTTGCTTTAACAGCGACTTAAGTAATTTGGCAAAGTTACGCTGTTCTGTTGACAGAGACTGACCCATAGTTATAACTCAGCAAAGATAGAAAATTACCCCCAGCTGGACACTCTTAC